AAAGGGGAAGGGGGTGAGAAGAGAAGGGAGGTTGGGGAGGAAGAGAACAGAGAGGATGCTAACTTGTACCTCTGTGCCATGCCCTGTGCCTCAGACAGGGAGTGGGTGTGGCTGTTGATCATGACGCTGTCAGTGTCACCGTAGATGACGTCAGCCAAGCTGAGGATTAACAGAGGGGGCATTCATAAAAACTAACTACAATCTTGAGTTTCACTTTTTTGTGAGTATCGTACTTTCATTCTTGCACTTGGCCCTACTGTTTAGTTCCATCGTTTAAATTTAGCCCTTATACACGTTTCCACGCGGTTTAGCGAGAAGCTTCGAAAGTTGCGCAACACAGTATATCAGACTTGGTGGGTTCATCTGGAGTTGCAATGTCACCACAAAAGTATAACACACACATACACACGCACTTACTTTCTCTGCCAATTCCTTGGTATGAGACAGGATCTACAGAAGAAGAGAAAACTATACAGTCAGTATCATAGGCAGGGTTTCCCTTTTATCTGTAAACCTACACGTACGCATGGTGGGGGTTGCGCTTTGTGACAATCATAGATAGCGGCCATTTTGTATATCCTTGTCAGCGTACACGCTTTTTTTACATGCAAAAACAGCATGTATGTAAAAAATGTGTGTGCACTTACAAGGATATAAATGTTGGGTGTGTGTATATATATCTGGCTTGACCGGTGTTCTGGGTGGGTGGTCAGTGGCTCTATTGATATCACCGTTTCATGAGTATTCGATACTTGGCAATGTAAGAATCAAAATCGTAGAATGAGTATGTAAATTATGGGGGTCAGAGACCACGCCCACTAGGCACGCCCACTCACCTCTCTCCCTTTGCCAGTGATGAGGGCGGCAAGGGGTTTGGCGTGGAACCGAGAGTACGAGAACCCGAGACAGCCGTACATGGAGTTGGCCGTCAGTTTCAGGGCCTTCTGTCGTATGTCCAGCTGGGAGTGCTGCTCAGAGCCTGCCACACTGTTCTTCATCAGCTGCTTCACCTGCCAGAGATAGGGGGGTCATCTGACCTGTGGCTATAGCTATATGTCTGTTGACATATAGCTATAGCTACAGGTCTCAAGGCAAGGACAAACGCCACAACTACACCCAGGACAACTATTTTTTCGTGGAAGAAGAGCTGCTTTAGGTGGATTTGAACCCACGACACTGCACTGCAGGCGAGCGCTCTACCAACTGAGCTACCAGGGCCCGCTCTACCAAGTGAGCTACCAGGGCAACTCAGCTGGTAGGTGTTCAAATCTTCAACACAAGGCAACACAAGACAAAGGCAAACCTAACCTCAAAAGCCACCGTGCTAACAGTATGTATGTACCTGTCGTCGTCTCTCCACCAGGACTCTGATCTCAGAAGACAGGACACCGGGAGAGAGGGAGGGATCAGGGAGCTGCAGCTGACTGCACATGCGATAGTCACATGACAGTAATGTGACACTCATGTGACCCTCAATTCAATTCAATACCTGTAGTCATCTCCATCAGTGGAACAGTGAGCATGATCGACTGTGGTGAAACATATGTTGTATTCCTACAAATTTCAGAGAGGAAAAGGTGACCTATAAATTGAATGAATGTTTTTCTCTTGCAAATTAAAATACTTATGAAAGGGTAAGTAAATAACTTTGTGCCCCATTTAAAGATATCCTGTTAATAATACGGGTTTAGACAAAAGGCTTTCGTGGGTCTACGTGAAGTGTCATTATCAACTTTAAAACTCTTGAATTACACAAGACCTCAGAACTGCACTGGTATTTCCACGATAGTCATTACCCAATGTTGATCGTGTAGGTATGCCCCACTCTAAAGTTAAAGCGAAGTATTATTATGGAGGACTTTCTCACGACAGATTAGGTATTGGCTGCGAGCCCACCTGGGCATCTGAATGCGAATTATGGGAAATTGTACTGTAACGGTGTGATCCGTTGTACAGGACCACATAATCATGTTTACGTGATTCTAAATACACGCCAGAAACGTGTGAAATATTGAAATGTTTGCCAAAAATACGTTGTATTCCTCTAGTAATTTCACTGCTATTCTACTGACTACCAGGATGTGTATATACCTGGATGATTGAGGGGTACAGAGAGTGAAGTCCAGGAGAAGAATGAAAGTATCGTAGAAACCCTTTTTCGGTTCCAACACCAGACCTTCTGTGTAGGCCGGCTTTCTGCGACCTTTCACCCCCGATGCCCCTCCCTCTCCCTGCTCTTCTTCCGCCTACAAACAATGGGGTGGACCAGCTCATATTGCCCTGGTATATTTAGCGAGTAGAGCAAGCCAACTTGTATTTGTCCAAATTGTATCGGTGCTTTCACCACACTACTAAATTGTGCACTCCGTCTGTTCGCAAAGTATTGATAGCGCCAGGCAAGTATTGAAGAATACAAATATAGGCACAAGTCGTCTGTATTGCTCACCCTTAAAATTGTTCTTTTTACAGTCAATAGACACAGTGACAATGTACATATATAGTCACATAACAAACCTCTGTCACAGGCTGTTTCTTGCTGGCTGGGATCTTGTCCGGACATATGTAGTGTCCCTGTAATAGGAAGTTTATAAATGAGTCAGTTGAAATGAGAGACGGGCAGAGTGAAAGAGAAGGAGTCAATGAAATAGGAAGGGCAGGCCGGGATAAGAAGAAGGAGGGGGGGTGGCTAACTTGGCAGTGAAGGCATGGAGCAGAAGATATTCGTTCCTCTCTGCTCTCCCTCCGCACAATGTGCGGGAGAAGATGTTGCCAGCTATGCACGTGATCTGGTAGGCCAGTGGCAGAACCTGTGAGACAGAGATATGAACATTATCTCCACCCCTCCTCCTCTTCCACCTTCCCTACATACCTACTGCGTATCACGGACACAAATTGAAAAATCATATAGTTACACAAATGCAAAAGAGAAACAGCAAACTCTGGAAAATTGCATCTCTCAATTGTCTACAGACTACGGAGTACAAATTCACAACGATTTATTGGTCTTACATTTAGCTCATACATGAGCTGTAGAGACAGCAGAGATTGATCCTGTACAGTGTGTTTGATAGAGAGAGGAGAGAGAGAGAGGAGAGTGAGTGGTGGTGTGTGTTGTAAGAGAAGAGATGTGTTGTTGTCACAGTTAATGAGCTGTAATTGCAGGACCTACTCTCACTAACCATTGTGTGGGCAACAAGAGACACCAACTGATCAGCATGACTGGAGGAAAGAAAGTGTCAGTGAAGGGTAGAAGATAGGGCTCTGGGCTATTTGTTTGCCCTGGTCTAATAATCACTATAATCGCTAGCAATATTTTACAAGAGACACAGGGGGGGGGGGGATTTCCTCTTTTCCACTGTGCATCCAGGTGGTGCACAAATACGTATTGGTGCAAATAGGCTTTGCTTACTAATTTAGCTCTGCTAAAACCACCAGCTTTAGCTTATATTTAGCTCCACCATGGCTCTGGGTGGATGCACACATGGGTACAAATATTACCATTTTGCTACTTAGAACTTGACTGACAAATCTGCTTTACAGAGAGAGTGAGAAGAAGAGGTGCCAGGGAGAGTGAGGAAGAGAAAGAGGGAGAAAGAGAGAGTGGAGAAGAAAGAGGTGCCAGAGAGAGTGGAGAAGAAAGAGGTGCCAGAGAGAGCGGAGAAGAAAGAGGTGCCAGAGAGAGGAGAAAGGAGAGGTGCCAGAGAGAGGAGAAAGGAAGAGGTGCCAGAGAGAGGAGAAAGGAAGAGGTGCCAGAGAGAGGAGAAAGGAAGGAGAGGTACACTCTTCCTTACTTGAAGCTCTGTAGGATTTCGTCTGGCTCCAGAGGTTTGTGAGGCTTTCTAAGAACAGTGTGAGACAGTTCTGAGGAGAGGAGGGAGGAGGGAGAGGGAGGGAGGGAGTGGAGGGGAGGGAGAAGGAAATAAAGAGAGTAGAGGGAAGAAAAGAGGGAGAGAGGGAGAGAATAAGAGTAAGGGAGGGAGGAGGGGAGAAGAATGAAAGCAAAGAGAAATGTGGGGGAAGAGAGGGATTGGGTAGTGGGTGGATTATGCGGAATCCAATACACGAAAAAGCGATCAATTATCGTATGTTTACGAAAGTGGGAAATGTTGTTTGCATGGCAAAGTGAAAGTGAGCGATTCGCAACGTAATCAGAACACTTTAGATGGACTCTCGCTCTTTTCAATGTTGACACAAGGCAAAGAAATACAGCGGCAGATGGGCTGCCCTAGCTAATAATGGAGATGAGAGTAATCAAAACACGGCGCCCACCAGCTAGGTCATAGCTGCGAGCCCTAATTAGCTCCCGGGCTGATGTCATGACATCACAGACTGGCCGGCCCGCACAGAGTTGTGACCCCGCCCATCGCCCTGGAGGAGAGGAGAAAACAGGGGTAACGGAAAAAGAAGAGAGGAAAGGGGGAGGTAAGGAACTGATTCCCTTGCACACTGCCATATCGTCTTTTAAAGTGTCATGCGTGCCTTTGCTAAAGCAAACGTTGACCCTCCTCCCTCCCCCCTTAAGATACTCTGCAAGTCTCAATGAAGTGATAATCAAAAAGGAGGAATAGAAGAGAGAGGGGGGGACAGTGAGAGGAGAAAGAGGAGAGAGAGAGGGGGACAGTGAGAGTGAGAGGAGAAAGAGGAGAGGGGTAGAGAGAGAGGCAACCTTTGGCATCTCCTTTCTGCGGAGTCGGCAGATTCTGGACCACTGGGGAACCTTGCAGGCTGCCATTCTGTACTGGAGAACTGCTAGCTGGTAGCCAGTGAGGTTGTGACCCTGCCATGTCAAATTTGTGATGGGTTTCAAATTCATTCATTGTAAGTAATGGTTTCTGTGCCATATATAGCACAGAGTATTTTGGGTCTGCCTGCACCTAGTACAATGCTTGAGGTTTGCCTTTGTCATATTGTGCTATATATTTTGCAGAATTTGTACCACATTTTCAAGGGCAGTCTAAATTTCACAAGGTTTTCTTCTGTGGTTTAGATAAACTATGGATACAATCATAAGGGGCACTCCACATTTCCCGAAATTCAGCGCAATTTCGGAAGATTACACTTACAATACTTGCGAATATGAAGATGCGATTGTCACCACTACAAACTGATGGCCGTGTTACTTTCAGAATTTACACTATCCGCTCTTTTGTTAGGCAAACAGTTGGGTCGAAAGTGCACTCTGCAGTGCATTAGTAACAGGCATTAACAGGGCTGGTGCCAGAGTGTATATACCAGGGGACATAGTTCCCCTGAATATGATTCCCAGGGGGGCACTTTGACCCGCAAAATAGGAGGCGTGCTGTTATTGGGACCATCTAAATTTGTTGCTAGGGGCTCACAGACGTAACAACCACTCCCAAAACTATACATCAAGAAAGAAGCGTTTTCTAAGCTACATAGTACCTCATCAACTGCATTCTTAAAATCTCTGGAGCTAGCTCTGATATGTAATTGAGTCGATAGACCACTCTGCTGTGGCATTAACCCAACTCCCCCGCAAAACTATGCGTTGGATTTGTACCAAACCAAGGGCAAACAACTGCCTTTTGAAGTGGTGTAAATTGAGACCAGGGACGCTAATTTGGCCATTACAGTCCCAAAGTTGTTTGAGAAATAAATCAAATTTCCGCGAGTACAAAACTGTTTATCAAAGCGAATTCCCAAGAAAAGGTAAATGAACTCTATATTATAATATGTTACAGTAAATACATAGTCCATAATACAATATACATATTACATAGTTATGGTAAAGTACACACAGCAATGTGTTTATGAGCATGGATGCATGTGTATATACATGTAGGCATTATGTGTATAATATAGCGGAGTTGTCTCCAAGCAAATTATGCGCATTCTTTTATGTCATAATAACCTGCCACGTGTACACATGTACTTGATTGCTTTTCTCTTTCGTGTCTGCCCGTAAAAAATACTCTACTTAGTTATACAGACAAAATCCAGATTGAGTCTGGGGAGCTGCAGGGTGTCGCTGGTGGAAGGGGTGAGTTGAGGTGTCTGGGAGGTGAGACAGACACCTCATGTTCATATGGTGTATGTTCGTTTGTTAACGGTTCCGCCCATTGCTCTGGGTGCGTGGTCTATGGCCCTAGTGCTATGGCAGCCACCTGAGTATTATTATTATACATACAAAATCAGTCGTGGAATTAATAAGGTATGTGGGAAGAGGGGATGTAAAGGAGTATATAGCACTCTTCTCTTTTCGATTTTTGCAGAAAATAGGAGAGGTGAAGGATTGTTGATTTTACCACATCAGCATTTTCTATAATTGGTCTTTTAAAATAAGCTGGAAATCTATCGATCTATACATTCATACCACTATGATCCCAGAGTAGTATATACGTACCACTGTATGATCCCAGGGTAGTATATTATATATACGTACCACTATTATCTGAGGGTAGTATGTACGTGCCATATTAGTACATACATACCACAATGATGATCAGGGTAATATATTCTGTACGTACCACTATGAAATCAGTGTAGTTATATATACGTATATACCACTATGACATCAGGGTCCATGCGGTGGATCTTAGCCAGTAGAAAGGCCAGTAGGGCTCTCTCTGATAGCGACACTTCAACGTTGAACCTCTGATGATGGGGGAAGGGGAGGAGAGGGAGAAAGGAGAGGAGAGGGAGAGAGGGAGAGGAGGAGGAAGGGAAAGTTTCAAAGGTAAGTGGAATTTAATTACGGTTTAGCCAGCAAAGGAACATTAGGTGGGAGAAATAATGTGAATATAATAACTCGTTTGTAAAGGGAGTGAAATATTTAATATAGGTGAGGTCTAAATTTAATAATAGGGAAACGATGATTGACTGTGAATAGCAGAATTTTATGTTTTATGGTGAGTGGGTTTGATGTGGCTAATTTTTGCAGTTGAGCATGTGACAACAAAGTCTATGTACATAGTTAAGACTTCATTATCATTGAAGAGGGTGGCAGTTGAAATTTGGACCCCTCACCTTTCTCTTGAGGAGGTCTTCAAACCCAAAAGGAAAGTTTCTATCCACTGGACTCCTAATGGCTGAGGAAACAGGTCACATGACACATCAAGAGGTCTTAAAACCTAACAGGAGAGCCACTGGCCTCCTGAATGCTGAGCAAACAGGTCACACCACACAGAATGGGGCACCTGACCAGTCACATGACACAACTTGAGTCACATGACAGGTCACATGACCTCTGACTCACCACAGAAGTCTGTCTCGAAGGGAATCTTTGGAGGAGGTTTATCCAGAGCCACACTGGAATGAACCAGACAACCAGCACACAACACCTGTCACAAAATGTGGTCACACATACACCACAGTGGGAGTTAAGGATTGGTGACTCATCGTTAGAATGCCTCATTGTAAGTCTAATTACAACAGGGGCCTCACCTGAAAATATTGCTACTAAAAGTTGTAGATGGCTAAACAGGTTTTCCCTTTTAGTTAACTGAATACTTGTCACCCCCCAAATGGCCATGCCATGCACGTATGAATTTGGGTAAACATTTATATCAGTGGAAGCAGGGAGTCATATAATGTAGAGAACCTTCTGGCTTCCCTGCTTTAGCAAAAAACCAACTATAATGCATACAACACACCATTCCCCCCCCCTGCTGTGTACCTCTGTTCTGAGACTAATGCACTTAACATACACGACTACCAATTGCACAGTGCACAGCCCTCGTCCCATTGTACACGTCCCTCCCTCCGTTAATGCACTAATTGTCCATTAGCGGTCAAAGCATTCCGGGCATTCCGTTCTCTGGTTCAGTTGTAAACATGGTGTTCGACCGGCGGCCTCCCACGATGACCTCCCTCCATATGGCAATCATTTCATCTGCCAATTTCAATTTGTACATGCATTAAACAATCACTGTCTCGTTTATCTTTGTTGCATCACAACAGCCCTGAGTACGTGCGGTACTACATACGCATGTGAATCGTCCCACGATACATGTTATTCGAAGAAAGATGTCTCGCTGTTGCGGTGTGTCGCAATCTTGCATGCATTTTCGTAACGTAATCTGATTGGTCGAAGATGATATCATTATTGTGACGTTAACAGGGGCGAGTTTGTTGTTTACGTCATGGCAATAACAGCGTATGTGGTCCGATTATGTCACTATTGTTTTGCTAAATAATGATATTTGTACTCCACGGCTGTCCTATTTGCTACACACCTTCAGTGCCTCGCTAGCACTGCAAAGGCTACGGTTGGCTTTTTTATCCATCAGTAGTAGTCTCATACCCAGATCTCATTGGTCGACTCTGACATCCGCAATTTGGCCTAAACATTTCGTGTACTTTTAGAAAGAAGTTGGGGAGAAGGACAGCCCAACCAACCATCCTGAATACCTTGACTATAGCTGGAGTGTGCAGTGTATAAGAGTAGGGTGGCCTAAACTTTTTGTACTATTAGAAAGAAGGTGGGGAGAAGGACAGACCAACCTACCATCTTGAATACTTTGACTATAGCTGGAGTGTGCAGTGTAAAAGAGTAGGGTGGCCTAAACTTTTTGTACTTTTAGCAAGAAGGTGGGGAAGGACAGACCACCACCATTCTGAATACCTTACTGTACTGAGTTGCACTTAAGGGAGGTGGCCTAAACTTTTTGTACTTTTAAAAGAGAGAAGGACACTACCACCACTGATCTTCGACTATAGCTGGAGTGTGCAGTGTATAAGAGTAGGGTGGCCTAAACCTTTTGTACTTTTAGAAAGAAGGTGGGGAGAAGGACAGACCAACCAACCATCCTGAATACCTTGACTATAGCTGGAGTGTGCAGTGTATAAGAGTAGGGTGGCCTAAACTTTTTGTACTTTTAGAAAGAAGGTGGGGAGAAGGACAGACTAACCGACATTCCTGAATACCTTGACGAAATTCCACCTCTAAATCAGGTCAGCACATTATTGCCGAGTGAACGAAGTGAGAAATTACTACAGTTTACGATAATGGTCAGCCCAATCGGTATGTTTCACCATACAGCAGAGGTGAGCTGGCTTATCTGACCAACTAATTACCTCATTGGCATGTGTCTTTGGGTTGAGAGAGAGAGCGAAGGAGAGACTGAGGGTGACGAGAGGAGGGGGCGGAGCCTGCGTGGGCACCACCCTCACACCATCGACTCCGCCCACTACACACTCCAGTCTACACCAGCTGACTGGACTTGACCCACTCCCTGCAATCAATGATGAGGTAAACACAATACATCACTTGTGACCTCACCCCCTCAGAGGGCATGTGGCAGAATTGTAAGAGCTAAAAATAAAACCTGTTGCTTAAACTGCATTCTTGGACTGGGCCCTATTGTTTAGTTCTACCTCTATATCATTAATTGTATATGCTGCCACATTCCCTTTAATGTTGGGGGCAAGGGGGGACAATGAAGGAGAATAAAAGGAGGAAGAAGGATGGAGGGGAGAGAAGGAAGAAGAGAGAGGGAGAAAGTGGATACGAAGAATGGAGGAGAGATTTACTGACTGGGCTGAACAACGTGTAGCCAGCACGGACCCTTCAGTTGCCGTGACAACACCAGCTGCTCCAGACTACGCAAGTTCACACACACATACGAGAGCGAGACAAACAAACAATGTAACCATGACGACAACCTGAGAGGTCAGAGTTCACCTGGAGGTAGTGGTACCGAAGACCCGAGAGAAAGTCTTCCCGGAGGCATTAGTGGGCGGAGCCTGATACTCGGCTGAGTAATAGACCTGCAGGTATTCACTCTCCTGCGGGACGTCAGGAAGGTCAAAGGCATAGTGCCGGGTGACACGACGAGAGGTGAATTTCATGATCCGCTGCGGTTCTGCGTATTTGGTGTTGAATTCGGAGTAGAGAGCCTCGAATGAGACCGGGGTGTCTGTCTCTACTCCAGACGGACCCAGGATCTGGGGTTGGGGAATGGGGTAGAATGGAGTATGGAGTAGTGGACTCCGAGGGTTTGCTGTTGCACATGTTTAGGTTCAACCCTCATATACACCAAACACAAGCAAACTGTGATAGATACATAAGCTTTCTTCACCGTATTACCCACAGCAATTAAACTTGATTAATTAATCCGCATCATAATTAGAAAATGTTACTAAAAAACGGAAACCTAATGTACTGGAACCGGTATGGGACACTGTGGTATGGGGAACCGGTATGGGGTACTGAGGTATGGGGAACCAGTACCCGTATGAGATGTTGGGGAACCAGTATGGGGTACTGAGGTATGGAGTATGGAGTAATGGGAGTCTTGCCTTTTCCCTTGGGAGGAAGTAGAGACATCTCTGAATGTTCTTTACCACCACACAGCAGCTGGCGGGGGAAGAGGATGGAGAGAGAGATCATAGAGAGACATTGGACAGAGAGACAAGAGAGAGAGGGAGGCGAGAAAGAGAGGGCGAAATACGTATTTCTCTAGCCTCATACCCAGTTTTTAGGGGGAGGAGTGTGCATGTGCATAAAGCAGGCTACGTGGCAGGAGGTGACTGTTCAATACCTGACGTGAGAGTTTGAGGCAGGCACCCAGACCTTCCCGAACAGGAAGACAGTGCCTGGCTGACGATACGGCATCTCGTGGGCATCCAGCCAGTAGAACTGCAGCACCTCCTCCCCTGCAGTGGGGAAAGAGTTTTAACATTGGCTACAACGAATAAAGGGCAGATGTGAGATATAAACCCTGGTTCACAACAGGTTGCTGGAGCCTGCAACACAATGTGATCTAACACAGCGAGACATTTATATTCGCTGCAACGTTAGGCAAGATGTCATGGAGCCCAAACGCAATTGGAAGTAAGTATGAAAATTCCCATGACTTTTACTAGCGATGTAGGGTATTATGAACCAGGATTTACCGTCCACCTCCTGTGTTGGTAGATCAGTGGGGGCTTCTACCGCCTGCTGACTGGCTGTCTGTGATTGATACATAGGAAAGAGGGAGGGGGAAGGGGGAAGGAAGCACATTGCTCATGTTTCCAAAGTATAGCGAGCACAGAATGTCTACTGCATACATACCTGTTGCTGTGAGGCAGTGAGGTCTTCCCTGACAGTCTCCCAGCCACTTACTGATACTGCAGCCTCTGGCACTGACACTGCTGCCTCTGGCCTACACATCAGACACACACATACGTACGTACATGTGAACAACTATGAGGTAGAAAGGCAAAGGCACAACAAACAAATCAACTACACCCAGGACAGCTCTTTGTTTACAAGGAAAAAAGAACAGCTGCCCTAGGTGGGATTCGAACCCACGACACTCTGCAGTCTAGGCGAGTGCTCTACCAACTAAACTACCAGGGCAGCTTAGCTGGTAGGGGTTCAAATCTTCAACACATTGCACCACAAGACAAAAAAGGCAAATCTATTGTGCTATGGCACAGTACATTCTGACTCACACATACATACATACATACATACATGTACATGTACACAAGAGTGACATTATTGACGACCGAACTCAGTATGAAATTTCAGCAGTTTCTAGAACACGTAAACCATTAGACATCCCTGTCTAAACTATAAGTAACTCAAATCATTCTAGATGGGCTCGCTTTACTCACCAACTACTCCCTCCCTCGCCCGGTGGTTAAAGGGTTAATTAACGTACACATCTGGCTTCTCGGTTTCCTCGGCAATGGTGGGTTCGTTGTCCTGGAAACCACCATCATCGTCCCCCATTTCTCCATCCCAGTCATCATTGGCAGTACTGTCATCCCAGTGAGGTTGGGGAGGAGGTGAGGGAGGAGGTGGGGAAGGGTGCTCTCGTTTTACTCTCTTTGTGAGTGAGAATGGGGAGGGTGACGGGTGAGGACGGGGAGGAGGGTGAGGGGAGGAAGAGGGGGTGGAGGATAGACGAGGAGTGAATTTCACTGGTCTCCTCTGTGGAGTTGTGAACGTGGAACTGATTAGGAGGAAGAGGAGGGGGAGGGGGAGAATGGAAGGAGAAGAGGAAGGGGTGAAATGATATACTGTATGTAGCTTTAATATTTGCTGTAATTAGTCAGGGCATACAGGCACCCCCATTAGTGCAGTTTCCTCAAGTTTCGACAGACTGTGTGCACTCTGAATAATCACTAGTACAACACTAAAAGTAGCGCACCATCCACCAGCTTCACACTCTGTTACAAATCTACCCTTTTCCTCTTTGAGGGTGGGGTCTGGGGAGGGACAAGACTTTTGTAGTCTCTGGATTATGCAGTATTACATAAGAACCCCCTCTGTGCTTTAGGAGATGGGGGGATAAGGACTTGACACTAAGAGTTTTGTTGGAACGCATGGTTTTGTAAAACAGCAGTAGCTACAAAACAGCCACCACACACCACACGCGGAGACACTGACCCAGAATGGTGTCGATACTGACCTGGAAGGGTGTCGTGAACTCGGACTAGCAGCAGAGCTGGGTCTGTTCTGCAGGTTAAAGATGAGTCTAGATCTCATCAAAATAACAATGAACCCTCAGTGCCCCACACAGTACATTGCCAGGCTTACACCCAGCACACTGTGAAAAAATACTTTTGGCGAGCAAACAGAAGCGTAAAATTGTTTCAAACTATTACATATAATTTCGCATATGCACTTATTAGGCACTGGTCTTAAAAATCAGGGATGGTAGGTTAAACCAGCATGTACTTCACATTGGCACAGGCACAAGGGAACTCAACTGTAGCCAGCAAGCAGTGGTAGCCATCGTTAGAAAAAAGGCAACTTGGAAAATGACAAAGAGAAAGAGTGGAGCACCAAGTAAAGCGTGGCATAAGAGAAATTCAGGGCTGTTCAAGTTTGAAAATTTATACAAGGAGAGGTGACCGACACTTATACCACGATGCCTACATGTAGTTATACACATACACATAATGGTGTAGTACCTCCATCTTTTGAAGCATGTCAGCCAGAAGCTCATCTCCCACGATGGAGGCTTTGCTCCCCTGCACACCACGTACATGACACAATGAAATGTAAACCCTCGGTTCATCCTTACCAACACCTATACACAGTATTAGGCAGAAACTGATTCATGAAGAGTGGCTGTGTTGTGGCACTAACCTGACCAAACACATAAACCCTTTGCACAGGTGGAGGGTTTTGCGAGCCCACCTAGTCATGCCAACAGGCTGTTTGTTTTCCATTTCTGTTTTGTAATTGTAATGGACATATGTAGGGCATTCCGAAAGAGGTTTAGAGGCATAAAAAAATTACTGGCTATGCATTAAAAAAATAAAAACAGAATATTATGCACTATTTAAACTTATCTACCCATGGATTGTTTTAGGGGGAAAAAAAAATGTTTTGAAAAAAAAGAAAAATATTTTGGGCCAGCCCTCCATCTCTCCAGACAGACGTCTACGGACGCAGTGCTATGCCGAACTGTACGCTGCCCTTTGAGAAACATGGGTCAGTGGTAGATTCATGGGTAAGGGGAGGAACCAGAGCTGTTCCCAGCCAATGCTCTAGACCACCTGACAGTTTAGTGCGGGATCGGGATTCGAACCGGGCACCTATGGTGTCAGTCCCCACGTCTCTAACCACTTAGCCACTCGGGCTGGCCACGAGAGCTGATGAAAAAACGTTCTTCTTATATCAACACTCATTGTACATCATATAAAAAAAACGCCACAAACAGGGATCGAACCCGGGACCTCACGATCTAGTGGGTGAGTCCTTAACCATCAGACCACACCCAACACTTGGTTGGAGGGACGGTTGAATATTGTGTAATTATCTCTTATAGCACTCGATATAATTATGGCTAACTATGACATATGCAAGGAGTTTTTTTCCACCTATATACTCAAGGTTGGTACCAATGCTATATACAGAGATAGTATAACCTGAGATTTTGTGTTTCTACGGAGATTATAACCTCTGACATTGTGTGTGATTCTGGTGCAGTAAACCTATCAAAACCCAATGAACAGACTAACATACTCCCACACACACCCCAGAAAGCATGTGCAGTCCACATTGTGCTTACTTGCTAAATATACATTGTCATTTAGCAATTTTACACTCACTAATTCTCACCTCCTTCTTTCTCTTGGTTCCACCTCCCATTCCCATGACCATGGCCTTAATGTTTCCCGGTTTAGCCACTCTCTTAGCTACCTTGCTCGCCCCTGCCTTGCCCCCCGGGGGTCGCTTTTTATCCCCAACCCCTCCTGGATGGGGGTCTGTTTCGTCGTCGTCAAATATTTCCCTTCCATGTTCGCTGTAGCTACCATCTAGAAGAGAGAGGAAAGGGAGGAGGAATGAGGAAATAAGATGGAAATTAGAGGTATAGATGAGAAAGGGGAGGGAGATATATAGAAGAATTAAAAGAGAAAAAGGCGGAAGGAGAGAGTGAGAGTATGACAACCATCAGAAAGGAGAAAGGGGGAAACACAAAGAAGTGGGGGAAAGCCCAGTAAGGAAACAAGAGCAGAGAAGAGGGAGGTATACCCACCATCATCAAGGATGAAGCCATCGGCCTGTCTCTCTCTAACCAGACGTGAGTACTCGTCCTCTGTCACGTACTTAAACAGCTGTTCTGGAGCCTCTATTTCTGTTTCCTCCACCTGACCTGTCTCTCTGCCTCTCCTGCAGTAGACAGAGCGATGGGGATGCTTGTACCAAGCCGTTAGCATCTCACACAAAACCTGGCCTTGAATACTTCATCCTCTAGTGGGTGATGAACACAAGGGCACACCTACTGCTACTAAGTCCTCGGGTACACGCAGTGACATTGACTGACAACCTTATTGGAGATCTCGTTTTTTTTTATTTTAATGAGTGCGTGGAGTCTGGGTGCACAGGATTAGGACCCGTATTTATGACAGAGAGGGGGTCTTGTGGGAGGATGCCCCTGAAGAATTACCTAATCTTTTCAAGGGCAGAGCTAGCGTTGCTTTTCTTCTTCTCCCTTCGCCCGCGACGGACCGCAACGGAGTCTAGGGAGAAAAGGGACGGTTAGAGAGAGTAAAGTCAAAGTTAGCTCACCAGACGAGCCTGCAGCGTCGCCAGCTGACGAAGCCATGGTCTTTCCCGCTTTTGCTGCGATGTGACCTTTGAACCATAGAGTGCCTCAGCTTTTATAACTGCGCGTGCGTGAAACCACGTGCGTACAACTCCGGATGCGCAGCGTATAGTACTTACTACGAGCCCCTCCTTTATCTCTCGTTCATAAGAAAGCTGGGACTAGTGTAACTCCAAAAGTGTAGACAATGGTCTTACTGCTCGTCTTGCATCTAGTGGTCGCTTTTCTCGCGGCGTCTGAAGCCGAGGTTGGCTGTCACACTGTGGCAGGGGGAGAATGCAGTGCAGTCGCCTTGAAACAGTCTGCCTGCTCTAGCAGCGACGAGCAGTACCGAGAGATGATGGTAAGTATCACACTATGAGATAATCGTACAGAATAAGACTCACCTGATGTGTAACAGGGACGCTGCTGTCCCGAGTGCAACAAAAACTCTGGTAAGGCTCAGCAGATCACATCCTCGGACTTGTAGATACTCGATTATGTGCTTCTTTCAGACTGCCAATGCAACTCTGAGACCAATGACTGCCCCTCGCACTCTAGCCAGCATTTGAGCACCCATTCTGGCTCAGTACTTCCTTCGACCATCAATCTTGAGCCTCGGCCAGTTACCAATTCATCGTTCAACCTGACTATCTCCTGGGCTGATGAAAGTGAGTGACTGACTTAGCTCTCACAGGAATGAATCACAGAACCTAACCTTCCTAGCAGGTACTGATGCATCTGGCTATGAGGTTCGTGTAGAAGCGTCCTCACGTAGTAGCTTGATGTCGGCTTCAAACTTACGCCTCGGAACATTAACCACCAATCAATCAGTGAGTTATGACAGGATCATTTTGAACTCGTTTGAAATGTTCAGTGTATTAATGAAGGGCAATACTCAGCTAACCCTGTCCAACATCTGCTTTGATAAGGACAAATCGTACCTGATTATTAAGGTAATGTATACATACATACATAGATGTCATCTATGGTGAATAAAACACCACTTGTCAGGTCTCGAAGAAAGTATCTGAAGGTTTAAAGGAATTGGGGGAAACGGTGCTCCACAGAAGTGACTGTTATAGCCTGTATGAGGGAGATACTGCACTACGAAATAGATATTGTGGACCAATGGTGAGTGAGAAAAGACGCAATCACTTGTTCCTTCGATTCCCCCCCCTCACACACACCTAATCCAATATTCGCCTACTCTCTCTCTCTCTCTCTCTCTCTCTCTCATAATAAGTCTCAGATACATTGGATACATCTGAGGTCAGGATCAGCTCAAAATCTGAGGGAGGAGGCTTATTTTCTGTCACGATGTCATGGCCTGTAGTGCCCCTGGCTGACAGCTATGATCTAAAGCTGGATAATGACACTAAATACAGTTATTTCAGTGTCATAAATACCGTGAGTAGTAGTTGGCTATATACACATACAGTATGAAACTCAGCAGTTACGTGTGTACTTCATTCTCCACAGACCAAAGTTATGTTTACTGGTCTTAACACCAGCATTGTCTACAAAGTCAGGGTGAGCACTACTTGGCCTGGAAGTTTATTGTCCACGTGTTGGATTGTTACTGGTTCCAGATTCGGCCATACATGAAGTGTGCAGGGATGTATAGGACGGCATCATTTGGTCACCATGTGCCACTGCAGGCCCTATAAACTTACCTTGGACCCCAATCCTCCGGCCCCCTCTCCCTCGCCCTCTTTAGACCGCTCATATTCGCCCTCTTCAGACCGCTCATGTTCGCCCTCTTCAGACCGCTCATGTAAGCATGGAATAGTGCAGACCTGTACTTAATCCAGCATGTTCCCATGGACTCTCATTGTGTAGTACTACAATACCAGAATGTGGTATTGTGGTAGGACTGTCACATGTTGTACTCTTATACACGCAGCTCCCATATTTGCCTCTGCTACTCCTAACGTTGCATGTGACACTAAACCTCACTGAACATGTACAACGCTTAAGTCAACAACCCAACTCAGCAGCTATAATCGGACTGGCTCTCACTCTGTCTCTCCTGCTAGTTCTCCTGGCTACAATTTCGATTGTCATCTATCGAAGACGACGCAAATCCATCCAGCCAGCACCGTCAACACCTTCTCCTGCTGACACACTGTTACCTCAGACTCCCAACTCGCCTTTTTCACCTTCCCTGTCTTCCTCTCCGTCCTCTCCCCTATTCTTTCCAACAGGCAATGGCTACGTGCAACAGCTGCCATCTGACCAACTAAAAGTACTGGTACTCTATTCTTTGGACACACCAGAGGACGAGCAAACAGAAATTAATAAGCTGCTGTGTGGTGGGTTGGGGCAATGTGGCATGCTGGTTGAAACCCCGGGAACAGTCCCAAACAGACAATTTGACAGGGAAAGGGTGGAGAGGGCTGTGGTAGAGGCGAACGCAGTTTTCTTTGTTTGTAATGACCAGTTCTATAGTGAATGGATGTCTGAAGATTCCACAGCCGGTTGTGGGGGAGGGGCCAAGATTGGGAGAGACGTCAGAATGATCAAAAATGCCGCTGGCAATTCCACCCTGGCCAAGTGTGCCTTTGTCCACTTTGAAGTTTCAGGCGAAGAACTTGTCAGGCGATATCCCAAGATTGACACAGCATTCATTACGCGGTATTTCAGCCTATCCGGAGACAAGTTCAAAGCAGTACAGTCTATTGCCAGCTTTGTCAAGAACATTCGGAAGTATGAACTGGGGACGCACTATACAGTTTCTGATGCCCCATAAAATTGGATTCCTTGCTGCTTACGAAGCCTTGCGTCTTATTGCTATGTGTGTCTCTGTGTAACAATGTTGATTGGATTTCCCTGCACTACAACAGCGGGTTGCGCGCTGCGGTATACGGCAGTCTGAGCACAATGTGCCAAAGAGCGGGCATTACCCGGCACCCCTGGAGTGTACTATTGCTGACAGTAGTACTAGCGAGTGCGTACCCTACTGCGGTATCGTCGGTGGAGGGTCTGGGCTGCAAGGAAATAGTCCCCAGTGAAGGCTGTGTCGCTGTGTCGGTAAGTAAAGTACGCACTAACGCCCCCTCAACCTTTAGATCTCCGTATGATGGCTGGCTAGTCTACTAAGCCAGCTACTCCCTCTTTCTTCCTGGTATATTCAGTGCACTGGCTGTGGCATAAGCATACAGGCCTTGTGACTATGCGTTTGTAGTAATGTTTTTACAAGAGTGCGCTGAATGCAACACGGTGCAATGTCATACGTAAGACTTGACACTGTAAAAGCATGGATATGAATTATGCTTTCACATGATACTTTTGCAGGGCAGCTATAGCAGAAATTACTGCAAGACCATGAAGATAGAAATTAAATCATAGGCCTCAGTGCATTACCATTGCTAGTCTAGTCAGTGCATTACTAGTCCCTTCCTCCAGCCCATCTAAAGCTATGGTGTGAATTAACCAAGGTTGATATAGCTACCCATGCTGATACAGGAGTAAAGTAGGGCATTAACCATTTTGCAGGTCTCTGATACAACCTACATATCAGTGTTTCTCCCGAGGTTTTTTCCTCTACCCAAGGAAGAGAAAACATGGGATGAATACTGTGAAGGCGGCCCAGTCTTTTTCCACTTCACATTCTATGACTTTGACAGAGGAGATGGTCCCACTTCGGATTTGGGAGTTCGTGTTGAGTGGAACATTACCTGTGAGCTTCCAGCAAATTGATCACCTACACATCCTCTCTCTCTTTAACTCTCTCCCTCACCTCCCTATCTCTTCCCCTCTCTCTCCTCAGCTAATCCTGGAAAAAGGTTCTACCTGAAAAGTGTCCTTGATGGGTTTTCTGAAACCCAGGAGACCACTTCAGGAGCAGTGAATCTTAGTTTGTTGCAGGATGCTTCAGACCGTCCTGGGAAATCGTTGCGCATTTCTGTAAGGAGATGCTGTAAATTTTCACACCAATAACACTGTTCATCTGTGTTTGTGGAGTTTACCAGCAAAATTGTTGGAGCTATCAATCATTATTATTATTGGCGAGCAAAGCAAGCATACCTAGTCGTCTGAATGCGGGGATTTTCTATATCTGTGAGGGCACTGCACATACCGCAATGTTCTATGTTACTCTAATTAATACGGGCGAAAAATTGAACGCCATTCCAAATGAAAAGCACTGAAGAGCAAACCCTCGGCGCACTGTGACGCGCACGCGTAAGTAAACGCATGCGCTGTACCACTAATTGATGGGCTGGGTTTATTTTAGCTGTTACTCGTGGTCTCTTGCCAGCTCGCACAGAGTCTGACGCGGGCTAACTACACTACTAGATAGCATACGAGAGGCGATACACGCCCTGCGTTGCATCTTCTGGTGCCTCCGAAGTATTATACGCAGAGCACGACCGCTGTAAGCCATCCCGTCCGTTGCGTATTTGCATATAAGCTTTTTCGCGCTCTAGCTTTGCAACGGAGCATTTTCAGAGAAAACCGCCTTTTTTTTCTGACCTTCGTCGCCCGTTGGGTAGATGGTATCGTTTCTGGGATGAACAGACATTCGAGGAGTGAGATGTAGACTAACAGACAAACAGACAAACAGACAGACAGACATACAGACCCAACTACTGTACCCTCGCTGCGCATGCGCGCCGAGGGTAATTATAGGCACGAAAATGCTCTAATCCCTCACCAAAAATGTGTGGCATTCATAGCTGGTGTATTCATTAGATAAACTTGATGTTAATTGCACCAGATTTTCTTTACCCAGGGAATGTACTGCATACAAATCTCACACTAATGTGTTTTTCTCTGTCCAGTTACTGGACCCTGACAATGACTGTATTGTGTCGGAAACTGTACTGAGAGTTCCTAAGACCTGTTATGGTGCCACTAGCAACCAACCACAAAGTGAGTCTCAATAATGACGTAATGGATAATAAAATCTGGTTAAAGCTAAGAAGGGTATTAACCCTTAGCCAGCCACGAGCACGCCACATGTAATTATGATACACAGAGTCTGTTCCAATGCTGATGAACGTGACAGCAGATGAGGTGGTGGTAATGGAGGGAGAAGAGGAGATGTATTGGAGGGTGCGGTGGAGTTGGATTCAGGATCAGGGCAGATGGAATCAGACCGAGACGTACCACGTGAAGGTGCGGGAGGACGGAGGGAAAGGGAGATAAGATGGCTGGAGGTCAAAGGAGAGGTCAGCTGTTGTTTGTCTGCCTATTGTCAATGGTGAAGAGGAAAATTACTGTTTTACATTCTCGCTTTTTTCTTATGTTCTCAGATGGAGGTACTTATTGGAAACCTTTCCTCCTCTCCCTACACAATTTCTGTGAGTTCTACAGACTGCCCTAGAGACCTGACACCGACCAATCTCCTCTCCTTTCCTCCTCTCCCCCCTCTCTCTTTTGTTTCTTCCCTTATGCTTTCCTCCCTTATTCCCTTTTTCCTCCCTCCCCTCTCCTAGGTGTGGAGATATGAGTGTGGTTGTGATCTGAGTAGACCAATGGGAGAAGTGCTTCTCAACCCACTATCACCACCTTCAGAAGGTGAGCTGCACTCTCACTGTCTTAGCTGGTCAACCTGACCATAGCTGCCAATTCTGTAAGGTTGGTGTACTTTACTTGTACTTTGCCTTTGCCTGGCAACCTCGTTGTTGACACAACAGTCATGCATGTTGGGCATCTTTGGTGGTTTAATTGCCCCGGTCTACTCCTGCATAATTATACTGAGTGAGAGTATACTCCGTCATAGCACAGGTTTAAGGTTTGCCTTTGTCTTGTATTGTATTCCTATAATTATACCAGGTGAGTAGTAGATCACTCGCTCAGGTGAGTGGTAGATCGATCGCTTAGACTGCAGTGTGTCGTTGGTTCTTGGTTCGAAACCTACCCAGGGAGGTTCTTTTTTCCTGGAAAAAAAGAGCTGCCCTGAGTGTAGTTGCTTTGCCTTCACCTTGCGACCTTGGTAGTTGACACATTCATAAACATAGATATAGAAAATGTGTGTGATATTGCATCAGCTATTCCTAATAATTTCCTGCGGTCTGCCCAGCTGGAGCCAATTAGGCTAGCAAACAGCGGACATTGCGAGACTCCCAGTTAACGGGAACTGGTGCACAGCCAGAAGCCCAGGAATTTGTTTGTTACTGTACCCAGCATCCTCTCATGCAGTGATTCACTGTATCGTAGCCAGTAGCTACCGTTTGTTGGAGCTGTCGTTTCCTTTGTTACAGTTTTCACCACGAGTTTCACTGTGCTACCTTGCTCCACACCCCCTCCTCCACCGAGCTCACAACTCCACCCTTCACCATCCACATCCTCACAAGCTTCACTGTCTTCTTATTCTCCCCACCTCACTCCATCTACCACCCACCACCCTCCCTCCTTCACCACACTCACCGCTCTCCCCATTTCCACTGCCAAACCCACCCCCTTGACAAGACATACTAAAATAAATGGGGAAACCCTGGCAATTATCAGCGTCACCATCTCTGCTTCCGTAGTAATTGTTGTAGCAATCCTAATAGCCATCACTGTGTTTGTAAGGAGGAAAAAACATCCACCAAGTTGCGGCGCCCAAGTTGACTTTGAAAATGGTAGAAACCCAAGTCCGTTGCCGCTAGAAAGAAGCCTATCAATTGTAGCCCTCTACTCGATTCGGACACCAGCTGAAGATATCGACAGAATAAACAAACTCCTAGCGTGTGGGCTGAGCGACTACAACATAAAGGTGGCAACACCAGACACCACGAAACCTCGCGAGGTGCAGAAGGAGTGGATTGAGAAGGGACTGATAGAGAGTCACGCTGTACTGCTGGTGTGTAACAAGCAGTTTGAAGAGGAGTGGAAGGGGAAGGCAGACGGTCAGGGTCAGCTCACGGTGGCCAGTGTGGTAAAGGTGAGGCTTCAGTTGTACAACCACAGGCATTTTTAGAATCACTGGCATCTTAAGAATGGTCTAGAATACAACGGCCTTATGCTTCCCTCAGAACATTGTACGCTATGGAATCAGTATACTATGCACAGTCTATAAGTGCAGCACGGATAGCTCCAGTTATAGTATATATAGCAGCATTCTACAAATGCCACACGTCTTTCCAAGAATAACTTACTTTCTTTGGAACGTGTTTTTGGTGAGCGAACTCAAGCAGTTCAAGTCTTCATCTGCTTATTTAGAATCATGTAAAACAGCTCAATTCAGATGACTATAATATACTAGGTAAGCTTGTGCAGGGCATGGATATGATCGTGCAAGCACTTAAACAGTGCTTGTGAGACTATTATTGGGTTGTCCGAACCTTTCCCAAAGCAAACGCATTATTTTTAATAGAGTTGCACGGATGAATAGCAGCAGCTTTACAAAGTGCTATAACACAAAATTTCGGTAATGTATCATCTCTAAATCGGCAAAATCACGCACCATGAAGTATGGTATATATATACACATAAAATCTGAACTAAAATCGGTGTACTTTCCTGCACAATGCCATTTCCCCCACGTATTTATCTCTGCACATGAATAAGTATCACGGAGTGATTAATTAGGCCAGATTCATTACTAACACTTTTGGTTGTGGAAATTTAAACTTGTGCTGTGAAATGACGGTATGTCCTTTGACCCCAGTTGTTTGTTGGTTACCATAGGTGATGCTGGGTAGTCTGGGGGACTCCGACCGGAGTAAGATCAAGTGTGTCTACCTCAGGGAGGAAGACGAGGTTTACTCCAACCCTACCCTGTTACTCCGACACCCCATCAGTCTGGCGGATGAAACACAGGGACTCCTTACTATTGCCAGATTCGTGCACAACACACCAACCTACGAGGCACAATGACAAAACACATGCCAAAAACCACCCACAATTGCTTCAGTTTTATAATATATCCTCCATTATTCATTTCTTCACCCTTCAGTTATGAAGACGACAGAGTTTTCCTTTTAAACTGTTCAAAAATAACATATATTCCTGTGACCACATTTTTATAAACAGTGATGACATTGTTGATGACATCGTAACGACTTTGTCGACAGATGAGAGTGTGAGAGTGTTGCTCAGTGACAGAGTGCACGGTGTGTGACGGTGTGCCTTCAGTGAGGGTGTGCCCGTGTGCTCCTGCGAGTGTGAGAAGTGACAAATGATACTGCACTCTGAATGAAAGTGTCACAAAATCCCGGAATTGCCCGCTCAGAAATCTTGAACGCTTGTCCCAAATCCTCCACATCTCTTGACTTCTCCTGGTCTCCACCACGGTACTGTGTGAGTAGAGGAAGAGATCACGTGACTATCACGTGACAGGTTACCCTCATTCCCAGGCCTTCCGCGCGAAAGAAAAGGCCCGGCACACACTGTTGTTGGCATGCACTGAATATTGAATACTGCGCCAGACTGGTGAAATTGTATACCAGACAAGACTGAATCGACCATGTGCACAAGCTACAATAATAAATTATATTGGACATCACCACAGTTTTCTCCGACGTTTATTGGGTGCATGCGCGAATAGTGTGTACCAGGCCTTCTCTCTCGCGTAAGGCCTTGGTACGATGTTAGTGATAGGTCACATGATAGGTCACATGACTCACCCGAGAGAGAAGAGGTAGTATGATGTTGTGGAGGGAGGTGGAGGGAGGAGATTCGAGTCTCTTGTCGGCCTCCTGTCCGTCTCCTCGTGTTCGCTCGGGCTCTTGCAAGACACACACTTTCCCTCCTTCCCCTCCCTCCCTCCCTCCTCCCCCACCACCACCATCCTCACCAGAGTCACTTCCACCCTCACCAATCACAAGGCTGGAGCGATCCCCTATGACAAATGCCGTGTCGTCAATTTCCAACCGCAGTGCTTCACTATCATCCTCTTCTTCCGTCAGCGTATGTCTGCGTGTGTCCTCTGTCCTCCCCTCCCTCCCCCTCCCCACTCCCGACCTCCTCAGAAGTCGACACGGGGGGCGAATCCTGAGTGTGACCACTACGTTTGATGGTGTTGCTAAAGTTCCACTCCATTCCTCCATTCTCCGGTGATTCCTCCATGTCCATTGCTCCACTGTATGTATAATAGTATGTGTATACATACTGAGTGGGAGTTTACAATCCTACACGTGCAAGCAGGGTTCATACATGTCATTTGCCTAGGGATATCCAACAAATCTGTTGCAGTACCCAGACAACAGATTTGCCTAGCAACAAATCTGTTGCAGTACACAGACAGGACAGCATGAGCCCTGTCTGGGCACTGCAACATGTATACATACTGAGTGAGAGTTTACTGTGCAATAGCCCAGTGGTTTGATGTTTGCCTTTTTGTTGTACTAGATTTGAACCCCTACCAGCTGAGTTGCCCTGGTATAGCTCAGTGGGTAGGGTGCTCGCCTAGGCTGCAGAGTGTCATTGGTTGTAATCCCTCTGTTTTTCCTTGAAAATGTTCGGAGTTGTCCTGGGTGAAGTAGACTTGTTCACTTTGCCTTTCCGCCTCGTTATTGACACATGTGTATATGTGTATGTGTTTGCAAGACATAAGTGTGCACTGCATTTTCCAGCTATAGTCCAGGTATTCAGAATGGTTGGTTGGTCTGTCCTTCTCCCCACCTTCTTGCTAAAAGTACAAAAGTTTAGGCCACCCTACTCTTATACACTGCACACTCCAGCTATAGTCAAGGTATTCAGGAATGGTTGGTTGGTCTGTCCTTCTCCCCACCTTCTTTCTAAAAGTACAAAAGTTTAGGCCACCTTACTCTTCTACACTGCACACTCCAGCTATAGTCAAGGCATTCAGGATGGTTGGTTGGTCTGTCCTTCTCCCCACCTTCTTTCTAAAAGTACAAAAAGTTTAGGCCACCCTACTCTTATACACTGCACACTCCAGCTACAGTCAAGGTATTCAGAATGGTTGGTTGGTCTGTCCTTCTCCCCACCTTCTTTCTAAAAGTACAAAAAGTTTAGGCCACCCTACTCTTATACACTGCACACTCCAGCTACAGTCAAGGCATTCAGGATGGTTGGTTGGTCTGTCCTTCTCCCCACCTTCTTTGCTAAAAGTACAAAAAGTTTAGGCCACCCTACTCTTATACACTGCACACTCCAGCTACAGTCAAGGTATTCAGAATGGTTGGTTGGTCTGTCCTTCTCCCCACCTTCTTTCTAAAAGTACAAAAAGTTTAGGCCACCCTACTCTTATACACTGCACACTCCAGCTATAGTGAAGGTATTCAGAATGGTTGGTTGGTCTGTCTTGCTAAAAGTACAAAAGGTTTAGGCCACCCTACTCTTTTACACTGCACACTCCAGCTATAGTGAAGGTATTCAGGATGGTTGGTTGGCCTGTCCTTCTCCCCACTTGCCCGCTAAAAGTACAAAAACTCTAGGTCACCCTACAAACACTCAAGGTGGTGTAGTGTATGAAATGGTACCCTAGTGTATAGTTATAACCATGACTCACTCTGTGATGTCTTGGCTGGAGAGAGAGAGAGAGTCTTCTCCGTTCTCCAGTTTCCACCGTACAAACCTCTCCACCAGCTCACACAGGTAGGACGTCTTCCGAGCCTGTCGCAGGAACTTGTGCTTCAGCAGCTCACCTGCTGTTGGTCTCTGAGAGGGAGAGATTGAGGGAGGGAGAGGGAGATTGAGGGAGGGAGAGAGAGATTGAGGGAGGGAGATAGTCTTTTTGGTGCGTGAATACTGTGTCATTTCTATGTACCCCACTCACGAACTTAGTGATCAAACTGCACAGCCTTCTCCTCTGAAAGCCTGACTAACCAAGCCATGCACACCCTGGGACTAATTACGTAGTCTAAAAATTATCCATCTATATGAGAAGAAAATGGCATTTTCGGTGCCCGAATACTGTCCAATTGGTATATACCCCACCCACAAACTTTATGAATCAAAGTTTCTCCGGTGAAAGCCTTCAACTATAACTTAGCCATGTATTGTGGAACCATAATTGCATATCTGAGGATTATATATTTGCCTATTTTACCACTAACAGTGTCATTTTTTTATTGTGCTTGCACAGTTACACGTGTAGGGTGGGCTATAACTAGAAATTTTTTTGAGGTTAATATTTGCAAACTGCAGGAAAGCTCGCAAATTGCAATTATTACAAATCAGGTATAATTATTTATTATATATATATTATTATTATATATGGTATACAGTATGTCGTTAACTCACATAGAAAGGCTCCTTATTGAGGCAAACAGCGACAAACTCTTTGAAAGCCTTGGAGAAGTTGCCGGCCAGCTGAGGAGGCGGGTTCTTGGGGATGAGGAAGAGGACTCGCATGGGGTGCAGGTCCGCGTGAGGTGGCTCGCCTGCAGCCAGCTCTATGGCGGTAATCCCCAGGGACCATATATCCGCCTGTGGCAGGAAACACACACCCACACACCCAAGTTCATTACAAAACCACCATGTGAATGTGTACATTGTAAATAATTGTAACTACAGCTTATTAGCTAGCTAACTATGGCTTTTACGTACATATGTATGTATGTACATTTGTAAGTCCCCTGAGCCCTGAACTGCAGGTTTAGCAGAGGTCTGTCTGCACAAGTACTTATCATGTGTAAATAGCCGAGTACGCAAAAATACACAAAATCAATGGCACGATCCCCATTCCTGCTCTCCTGATATCCTTCACTATTGATAACCTCTCCAATAAGAAAGTGTGGGGTAATGTTGGCCGTTAATGCAAAGTGAAAGGCAGCGTTTTTTGCAGCAATAGAAGAAGGGGAGGGCTGCCACTTGCCAAAACACAGTAACAATGCATGTACACACATACTGTGTATTAATTTGTGCTTCACTAACGGAGGGAGAGAGAAGGGACATCTCTGCATTAGTCAGCTACGTACATGTACACGTATGCATAGGCAAATGAACCACAGGGGCCCACCTGCTCCAATCTAGTAAAGTTATCCCCATGAAAATAATATTCCCATTCCCCATTCTCCGACAATGATCATGGTAATAAGAGAAGAGACAGCCTCTGACCTTGGTGTTATACTGGCTCTGTTTGATCACCTCGGGAGCCATCCAGAACGGGGTACCCACAAACGTGTCCCTGAATTTGATGGTCTCAGTTAGCTGGCCGGCCACTCCGAAATCTGCCAGCTTCACCTCCCCACTCTCCGACAGCAGGACGTTGGCAGCTGAGGGGTTAAAATTAAAATATACATTGGGGCTAATCAAAATTGCATCAAATTCCCCTTTGTACAGAACATGCATAATTTTGATGAAGAAGGAATATGTAGTGGGTATGGCTGACAGATATCATTTTCTTTCCTGCAAAGCTTGATCCATGAAAATTTCCATTTGAAAAAAGGACGCGGGCATTGCGGCAGAACCAAGTGGGCTATATTCAGATTTGAAAGTCTCCACTCTCTACACGTAGCCCCACTGACCTTTGACGTCTCTGTGTAGCTTGTTCTGAGAGTGGAGATAGTCGAGCCCCTTCATCACCTCCCTCATTATGGTGGCTATATATATCTCCTCCAGCGGCCCCGGCCTCAGCATGTCCAGTGCCGACCCTCCTCCCAGGTACTCCATGATAATCCACAGCTTCGTACCCTGTGTGGTCACATGACTATCATACACTGGTCACATGACCTTACTGAATAATGTTGACTAAACTTGTATCTAAAGGCCGACAGTACATAAGGGCAGGATGGGTATAATATAATAACAGTGGAACTGTGAGCGAACACAAGTGCGAGATTTCACTGGTGTACTACACGTGCAATACAGCACCGTCTACGAAATGCTGCCACATTATTAGCAGTGGTCAGGGCAGTGAGAGCAAGTAGACTCGACCACAACAGGGTTTATAAATGTAACTGTGGCACGACAATTAACACATAACCAGCCACGGACACATAAATGTGTCTAGAGCCTCCATAAGTCCATGAGAATTTATGTGGGGGTTATAATACAGAGCGCTAATACTTTAATCATCGATTTCTGCTTATTTAAGCAGATACCCATGGTGCCCAAAGGGTTTTAAAGCCCATAACTACATGAAACAGGGATTGTAAACGAAACTGTAGCAAACTTGGAGATCTAACAGGGAGGTGTGTGGGCTAGAGAAGAGGTGACTGCTATTTAGCATCATGGACTATAGTTCACTGTGTACAGAGACACCACGACCACTTGTGTCGTACTGAATTGTACTGAAGAGAAAAAGTAGTGACATCATCAATGACATCACCATTACTATATATGATGTGTAGCTCAGTGACAGCCTCAGCAGGGCAAGCCATGCAGCTAGCTCGGTAGATTTCAAACTTTGATCTGCCAAGGGTCTTGGGAAAGCTGTTTGAATAGTACACTCCACTCTTCATGTAGAGGGGCAACTACTTACTGTACATACTAGTCACACACTGACTTGATATGTAGTCATAGTTTGTTTAATGCAATAATGCTCGGTATCCAGGGCCTTGGGCCTTTCGAAAGCACATCACAAGATAAGCTCTTGGAGAGGCAATGTGTGCAGTACATGTGATACACACAGCTTGGCTCTTAATGTAGGCAAATTAAAGAAGGGCTAGCCATTACACAGAGGCATGTCGGCTTGTGACGTAAGACATTATACACATACTCTTTTGGTGTCTAGAACTGGTAGCCATTATTATTCAGACGCAGCAGCGCTTGTAGCAGCAATCAAGTCATAACACCTTAGGATGTATCTGTTTGCATTACAAGGCTTTATAGTTTCAATACTGAGGCAACACAGCTGCAACAGTGCAGTACTTATACATGTACACATTCAGAGTTTGCAAAAATGTAGGTTCCACAGACATTGTTGAATATGCAAAAAGTGTAGTGTACAAGGGGTTAAACTTAAAATACTTGCAGTGTTTGACTGCACGGTGGGGAAAGGGTTTTAATTAAACCTAACCTTAAGAACCATAATGTCAATACGTTCAAACAAAAAGTATTATACGGTTAGTGTGAAAGAGTTAAAATTTGCATGCAAAGTTAAAATCTCGGTATGGTGTGTAAAAAGGTAAAGGAATGCATCATTTGTGTGAAAAGGGGTTGAATTGATCTGTTCCACGGCAGAAAAAGTTTCTTCAAGAGCTTCGCGGATTTCTTGGTTTATGAACAGGACACAAACGTTACCTCTGTAAAATTTGGTAGGCGGGATACTTGTAGTTGGACGGGAAATACGTCGAGTTTTTTCTGCTAAAACATTTGCTACTGAATTACTCTCTCGAAAGATTCCCAGTTAAGAGGACAGACCTTGAGATAGGAGCCAAAGTATCGAGTGACGTGAGGAGAGTCACACTGAGACAGAATGGAGATTTCTTGCTGGATGTCTTCGATTTCATCGTCTGCTGCTTCCAGGTCAATGATCTTGATTGCTACCACGCGACTACTTCGCTGGTCGATGCTACAAGATGGGGGGGGAGGGAGGAGGGAGAAAGATAGGGGAGGAAGAGGAGAGAGAGGGGAGAGGGAGAAAGAGGATTGCGGGAATGATGGAGAGACAAAGAGGGGGAGATTGATAGTGAAAGAGGGAGAGAACTTAAAAGAGAAAGTAAACAGCAATAGTGGGTAAAAAAAGGAGTGCTAATAAACGAATGATGGCCAAGTACATACACACTGTGTACATAATATTATAGAGCTAACCCTTTATACACTTCTCCAAAGTTCCCTTTCCCAATCTTGTCTTGTCTTGTGAATATCTTCTCCGGGTCAGACAGTGCCCTTGACCCAGTACTGAGTCTGAACTACAGTGGTGTAATGTATACACATGTCTTATGTGTGTGGTCCTATTGGAAGACGTCATACAATACGTACACTGACACAATGGTCGCGTAACACAACACAACACGACAAGCACGCTCCTAACAAGGAGGCTACAAAACACCTCGACTGCTTGTAAGCAAGCCAGTTAGCGGGTGGTGCCGGTTACTGTATACACAGTCGCTTATTACGGACAGCTACAAACTCACCACTTTGGCCGCCATTTGTGCGTCGAACTGCTGCTCCTCTGCTGGCTTTTCCTAACAGATGGACTGGCTGGAATCCTCTATTTGTGTGTGTCTCTCTCGCTTCTCCCTAAGAAAATCAGGCGACGTGTGTGGCGGCGCACTTTGACCTGCTGGAAAAAACAAGATTACGTCACTTTTTTCGCAGGCAGCTAGCTGTATGAAGCTGAAACGCTTTCTTCTCCGCTACTACCCTCCAGGTGAGGAAGAGACAGGAGGGAAGTGTGGGGAGTGAGAGAGAGAGCGTGGGCGGGCATGGGTGCGGCTGCTGCAGAAGGGTGAAGGGGGCGTAGCTGCAAGCTTGCACGCTCACTTGCCTCGAATCAGCTGGAGTAGCTGGTGTTATGTCTCTCTCCTTCTCTCTCTCCCTCTCTCCAGGGATTATTCTGGAATATGAGCAGGGAGGAGAGACTCGATCAAAGTGTATCGACCTCCTAGATCTGAGACCAGAGTCAGTTATACCTTCTAGCTATCACTCTTTAGCTGTATCTCATGCCTTGCCACCACAAGTCACCTCAAAATACACCATTATCCCACAAAAAATAACAGTGGTTTGGCCTAGGCTGCACACAGTAACTAGGTCCATGACTGCCAACTTTTGTCCATACATTTTACAAGACAACTTGAGATAAAAATAGTTAAAGCCGCCATTATCACAAGTCAGACCTGCCAAAAAAACATCAATGATTTTAGGATAGGGCAGACTGGGGTAGAGTGTGGGGGTATGCTAGGAGCAATTTGGATTTGACCAAACTGTAGTATTTTCTCTTGCCATTATTATGCCATGCTCCTACTATACATACATACACTACATATGAAACGTTTGTAAGCCAACTGTGGATGTTGTCTTTGAGATTTATGCGGATGGGACCATTTGTAGAGGGGGAAAAGCAATCATTGAAAGTCTTTTCCACGAAATAAGTTTTCCACCGAATCGTAAAGGTTTTCTCCCTCCATCATAATGATGCTGTTTTCTCTCTCCACATGCAACAACTTTTAAAAAAGAAAACTTTCGCTTATTTTTACGGTTTGCAAACGTTATCTCTGGTATATTTCGTGGCTGGGATACTTGTAATTTGGATGGGCAACCCGTTGAGTTTGCAACTCCACTCTCTCTCTCTCAGGTCAGATGTGGGAGAGCTGGTGAGTGAGATTTGCACCAGAGAACCACTTGTGACTCTTAGCAAGGCGGAGCAACTGGCTGGACTTATCAGAAGTGTGACCAGATCTCTCCTTTTCCTTTTTTTTCTATCTCCCCTCACTATTCCTCTTCTCTTTTCCTCCCTTAATTACTCTCATTCCTATGTAGCTATCGAAAGAGAAACAAATTGTTGTGGTTTCAACTCTAATGTTTATCACTAGTACTTAGTACATATAGGGATGAGACACGTCATCCTGCATTATGCCCAAACATTTGCGGTGCCTTCGATCTGAGTGCGTGCTGGGCTACAAATGACCCTTATACATACGTACTGTTTTAAGTAAATGTGCATAGCAGTTTTTAGTACAGCACAGTATAAGCACGGCCACGTTCACATACACGGTCTGTATAATTATCGTTAAGTTCTGGGGCAATTCATTGAGGCCATGCTGGTTTGTTTCACATAAGAAAATGCCACCCCCCTTCATCCTCCCAGAGCTGCAGGGTAAACTGAGTGAGTCTCATGAGACGCAGTTCCAGCTGTTCAAAGAGGTGAGGACTCATCTCCTTCCTCTCACCAACATCGCCATCAACAAATCTGGATCTTGGTATGTACGTACATGTAGGTATTCACTCTCCCAACTAGTGATCCATTCAGTTACCTCCATTCTCTCTAGGCAAACCTCAAACCACTGTGCTATGGCACAGTGTACTCTCACTCAGTATGTATGTGTGTCTGTCTGTCTGCTGTCAGTTTCATTACAGGTAGCTATGACAGGACATGCAAAGTATGGGGAGGAGAGAGTGGGGAAGAGCTACTGACACTGGAGGGCCACAAGAACGTGGTCTACACTGTCGCCTTCAACAACCCATATGGGTAAGCCCCTAGTCTAATTTTATGTGACTAATTGTATGCATGTATTATGGTGACTTTCATCTATTATGGTGACAGGGACAAGATAGCTACTGGATCGTTTGACAAGACCTGCAAGGTAATACACATGCATTTATAGTGTGTGCCATGTACTGTACAACAGAAGTACTAACGTAATATTGACACAAAATCATTTTGCATCACTATAGTGGGAAAAGTTGCATAAACGTGTGGTTCATACTAGTCAAAAAGGTTACAACATACTTTTTTGAATCTCACGATTTTTTATAGTATATAAGTTTGTTGAGCGTGCCAAGCTTGCTGGCCGAATGCATTCACAAGAGAATTGCTTTTTAGGTGAAAGTTGTTAAGTTGTTACGTACGTATCTGATTGTCATGTGACCTCATGCAGTTATGGAGTGCGGAGTCCGGAACCTGTTACCATACCTACCGCGGACACACTGGGGAGATAATCTGTCTCACCTTTGACCCCCTGAGTACGATGATAGCGTCGGGCGGTATTGACGCAACAGCTAGACTGTGGAGCGTGGAGCACGGCACTGAGCTGGCCACACTAGCTGTAAGTCTCTCAGGACAAAATGAAATGAGGTCACCTCTCTATTCAACAAGGCTTCCTTCTTGCTTAATCCCTGAAATGAGGAAACCTCACAGCTTTAATTTCCCCAAAAAAGCTCTTGGATACCTCACTAACGTGGACACTTTCTCTTCACTCATCATTTTCCGTTTATGCCACTGTACCATATCACCCCTGAAGGTTTGCACTGCACTCTCCGGCTTTATCAAAGGCATTCAGACTTGTCGGTTGAACTGTCTTACCCCGTTCTTGCTTGCTAAAAGTACGCAAAATTCAGACCGTATCTTTTTTCATAGCCTCCAGCAAAAGCTTGACTATACTGGACCCTCCTTCGGCTAGTAGTGAATGTGTTTTTTCCCTCTACATTTCTTAGGGGCATTCATCAGAGGTGATATGTGTCCACTTCAACAACTCTGGGTCTCAGGTGGCCAGTGGTTCATTTGACCACACTGCCATCATATGGGACACCCACACAGGGAGGTGGGTATATTATGTATGTACGATGACGACACGCGATCTATGGTCGTATATACAGTATAGCTGTGGGCACGAGAGCATAGCATTCGTTCTGGTTCTACACACAATATTTCTCCTTTCTCTCGCAGGTCGGTTCACTCCCTGCTAGGTCACAGAGGAGAGATATCCAGTGTGGCGTTTGACTATGGAGGAAACACTGTTGCCACTGGCTCAATGGATAAGACCTGCAAGATATGGGACATTCGCTCCGGCCAGCTTATCACCACTCTCAGGTGGGTTTGGTGGTCCCTGGTCATGTGACTGTCATGTGACTGCTGTGTCCAGGGGTCACAAGGACGAGGTGTTGGATGTGGCGTTTGACTCGACTGGTCAGCAACTGGTGACTGCTTCAGCTGATGGTGAGAGATGTTTCTTCATTATGCAACACGACATAACCCCTTCGTAATCATCATTATGGTTCATGAATGTGTGCAGTTAAACCTCTGAGTAAAGGACACATTGGACACATTGAAAGCCTTTATTCAGAAGTGTCCATTATTCAACACAATTAGCGTGCTTAGCAAGCGTACAGTTCCCAGTCGTCTTTATCATCCTGTGACACTGTTGCATTCTGATGTGAAAACCATTGTTTAAGACTATTCACCCTCCAAAAATGTGTGTTGTCGACATGAATGTGTATCAGTATGGGGCAGAATCAGGTGCCCAGCGTCCATTATTCGGAGATTTCGTTACAACGAGGCACGCCATTCTCCCTGCAGGAACTGCCTGTGTGTTCAACACAACTACACTCAACTGTGTCCACAGACTCCAGGGCCACCAGGGAGAGATCTCTAAGGTCCCACACACTCTCTCTCACACACACTGCATCTACTACTACTATTATACTGTACATATGTAATCAGCATTACCCTCTTCGGGGAAGTTGCATCCTATACTGTAAGGAGGTCAATCACATCTGATAAATCTGGATGCTCAATAGACGCCTGGAAATTTGTTCTGCCCATGCCCATTATTCCACTGAGTCAGTGTCCATTATTCACCTGTAACGTAAAGTGTGCCTTTGCTCTCTTTTGCCTCTCCTGGTAGGTGTCATTTAACGCCCAGGGGTCTCGGATCCTGACTGCTAGTGGAGACAAGACAGCCAAACTCTGGGACTCTGCCACTGGACTCTGTCTACAGGTACTCTATACCACACGGACTAACAAATCTTGTTTGCTGACATGTTGGTACTGTAGCTCAGTGGGTAAGAGCACTTTGCGTGGACTGCAGAGTGTGTTTCTTCTGTGTAGTCGACTTGTTTGCTTTGCCTTTCCACGCGACCTCGTTGATGTATGTAATCACACGCAATAGATGAAATGCACTGTACTATAGATATACTTTAACCCTATTCTCACTGCCACTTTAACCCCATTTCCGTTGCAGACTCTGGGTGGGCACGGGGAAGAGGTTCTCGGCTCTCTGTTCAACTACCAGGGAGACCAAATCATCACCGCCAGCAAAGACAACACCTGTCGTCTCTGGAGATGATGATGTAATAAACCTGTTTCATTTGGCACGGCAACCCCATCACCTTACATGTTGTTTTGTATGGCACAATTAAATCCAGTGTAACGCATGCGCTTTAATTTTTGCGTACTATTTTAGTACTACCACATGCGCTTAATTTTTGTTCGCGTTTTGCGTGCATCAAAGATGTTCGAGCTTCGGCTTGGCGTGCTTCGCGGAGAGAAGGTCGTCTGTGGTTCTCTGTGTGTGGAGGTGGAGGAGGAGGTCACGTGCAGAGAGCTCGTGGACCAACTAAAGGAGGTGGGGTTGCTGAGCGGTGCTGCAGAAAGGGGGGCGTGGCACCTCGTCGAGCGCTGGAACGGCTGCGGTACGTGAGTCCCATAGGGCCTAGAGCCAATGAGCCAATTGTGCCTGTGGCTCTATAGTACTTTTGTAGCTAATAGGACCGATTCTGTGGTCAGTCCGTGCATTGAATTCCTGGGTGCAGTGGACTTGTTAGTTGTCACATATATTATGCTGTAGCGTACACTGTATAGTTGAGGTTTCTTAATTAACTGCAGAACGGCAACTGGGAGATGGGGAGAAGGTA